TTTATTTATTTTATTTATTTTATTTATTTTATTTATTTTATTTATTTTATTTATTTTATTTATTTTATTTATTTTATTTATTTTATTTCATTATTTTATTTTATTTTATTATTTATTTGCTTGATTTCTACAGCAACCCATCTTAGCAAACGACTCTGGGCAGCTCACAATTCAAAACCTTCATTTTACGATTAAAATTTTTAAAAAAGCATTAAAAACAATAAAAAAAAAAGCAATCCAAAGGATTCAAACCGTAAAAAGCAAACAAACATTAGAACGCCTAATTCGTTGTTGTGCACACAAAAGCCTCCTTCCGTGGTGCATAAATCGTTTCTCCCACAGCGCCTGCAACCGCACCGGAGGACGTCGTGGCCATTCAGAACAGCAGCTACACCACCATCCAGTGGGCACAACCGCGGGGCAGCCTCAACGGGATTCTTCGGGGGTACAAGCTGGTTTTCCAAAGTGGGGATTCGCCTGAGGTGAGTACAGTGCACACACAGGCCATCCAACTCCTGAGCATCCTGGCCCAGCGTGCTGTACCCCAGTGTTCCCCAACCACGGGAACCGGTTCTGTGGAGAGAGGTTTTCGGTGGACCAGAAGAGGTGTGGTTGTTACGCATCCTGCCTGCATCCCAGAGATGGGATTTTGCTTGTTTACATGGCCTGGTTTCTGGCATGCCGTGGCACGTGGCTGGTCCACGGACCGGAGGTTGGGGGCCCTTGCTGTACCCTATTCCAATCCCCAGCTGAAAGTTTACCGATCGTCCTCGTCTTACAGACATTTGTTTAGCGACCGTTCCAACAGCACTGACTTTCAGCTGGTCCTTGCCTTAGGACTGTGGCAGCAGCATCTCCACAGTCACGTGACCAAAGTTATCTTCTCTCTCAAGGTGATCGTGGACGTGGGAATGACCAACGAGACCATTTTGTCTCTGAACTCAAGTGTACAGAACTTGACCGTCCGGATTGCGGCCTACACCAGTGCCGGAGACGGACCCTGGAGCGAAGCCATCATGATCCTCTCCTCGGAAACAGGTGAGAAATGGGAGACTACCTGGTGGGCCATCACCTTGGGTGGTTGTGATGCAGGGGGACCATCTGGCTCTTCATTTCTGCTCTGTTCCTTGTGGCTTGGAACATTACAGAGTTCTAGAGCAGAAGGCAATTGTGGAGTCTGGTTTCAAATGTGGGTCTGGTGAGTCCTACAAGATCGAAGTTTTGCTCTAACTGAGGCAATGGGGGTCAAGAGTGACTGTCCACCCATCCACCCACCCACCCACCTACCTATCCATGCATGCATGCATTCATCCTTCCTTCCACTCATCCTCCCACCCATGCATGCATCCATCCACCCATCCAATCATTGATCCATCCACCCATCCAATCATCAATCCATGCACCCATCCAATCATTGATCCATCCATCCAATCATTAATCCATCCGTTCAATCATTGATCCATCCATCCAATCATTGATCCATCCACCCATCCAATCATTGATCCCTCACTCATCCAATCATTGATACATCCACCCATCCAATCATCAATCCATCCACCCATCCAATCATTGATCCATCCATCCAATCATTGATCCATCCACCCATCCAATCATTGATCCATCCACC